TTAAGTGTAGCACCGAGAGACTTCATAGCGAGTCTTAGATTACAAAACCGCCTGTTGTCTCTCCTCTGATTTCATAAGAGGCTTTGAGAAATATATCACTGCGCGAGTGTGTGTGTATGTGTGTGTGTGTGTGTGTGTGTGTGTGTGTGTGTGTGTGTGTGTGTGTGTGTGTGTGTGTGTGTGTGTGTGTGTGTGTGTGTGTGTGTGTGTGTGTGTGTGTGTGTGTGTGTGGTTACGACACTGATCTTCAGCACTGATCCAGAAGTCTGAGGGCAACAACACTTGTCATTAAAGGCATGTCATTCTGCACAGGGGAAGAATCCTGTTAGTAAACAAAGCCATGGCAACCGTGGAACGCACACTCTCTCACGCTCTCTCCCGCAACTTTGCCCTCACACACACACACACACTCACACACACACTCACATGAACTGAGCAGTGAGCCTATTCTAAACTAGTCCCCCATCTTGTCATCTGCCTGGATATGACCCAGAAATACAGTGACTGGAACAAATAGGCCACTGTCATATTAATCTCCACCTCTGTAAATTGATGGAAATATGATTTGGTGCGTTTACCGTCTCCCTGCTTCCACCTCTTTCTATGTGTGTATATCTATCACTCACTACGATAACTTGAGCTACGCATAATCCAACATTAAAAAAAAAAAATCTCAGACGCCGTAATTGCACGCTCAAATCAAATAGACACAAACAGGTAAAGGAAAAAGCCAGAGCCGGGGGGGGGTTGGGTGGAGAAGAAGAAGCATGCACATGATATTCTAAGTAAAAAGCTTTGAATGGCAGAGTCTGACTGAAATTACAGAGATTCTGTAATTGCAGCTTCAGATAAAGCACGGCGCTTGGCAGGTAGAGTAGGAGTCTGCAGAGATGTGCCCTCATTTCCACACCGTGCATGTGTGTGTGAGTCCTTTTTGAGCATTCATGCATGCTTGAGAGTGTGTGTGTGTGTGTGTGTGCGTGTGTGTGTGTGTGCAAGAGAGAAAAAGGGGAATAGGTTTGAAGGGTTAATTAGCGTGCTGTCTTAAACGGTGTGCAGCGACAGGAAGACAAGACAGGCTGTCCTTGCCAAAATCACCTCTACACAAGCTGCTGCACACACACACACACACACGTACATAAATGCATATAACACAGAATGAGGACATGCACTAATTCTCCCCCACTCAGCACCTCAGTGCCCATCTAAAGCTCATATACACTTGCACACACACACACCTAAGTCAGTAAAGCCAAATCAGTTTTCCCGTTGCTACAGCAACAGCATACTTTTATGTCAACTGCAACCTAGTTACTATGGCGATATGTATACAAGAGAAACTCTGCAGCGTTGTAGTCAAGGGCCAGATGACAGCATAGCGTGAGGGTGTGTTCACACAACTATTTTGACACACACACACACACACACACACACACACACACACACACACACACACACACACACACACACACACACACACACACACACACACACACACACACACACACACACACACACACACACACACACACACACACACACACACACACACACACACACACACACACACACACACACACACACACACACACACACGGTTCACACGCTGGTCAAGGAAAGCATAAAGAGCTCTCATATCCTCCGGTATAATCTCAATCAGCTAAACTCGCAAAGCCAGCATTGATCCTCGCTGTTTGTGTCCCCCCCCCCCCCCCCCCACAAACCCCCAACACCCCCGGGCAAGAGGAAATCTAAAGTCTGCTGGCATCTGTGTTATTAAATCCTCCAGTATTAATTTTGCACTAATTGAGTGAGAGATTCATTCCCCGTTTACCGGGAGTATTTAATGGAGGGCAAATCTGGATAGGGGAGCCGGTATAAAAGACTGTATCAAGACTTAAATCAAAAGCGAAACGCTGTTCCCACTGGGGGAGCGCACAACGTCTGAGTGAAAGAGAACTATGAAAGCAGAGATCATCAACTATTGATAAGGCCGAATCTGGTACAGCTGTAGACAAAATACAGAATATGTTTGACTTCAAGTTGGATATGCCTGCAAACCGCTGATAACTGTCTGGCTGTGAAACAACTTATAAGCACACATGATAGAGTGACTAATGGGAGGTATTTACCATATGGCTGAAGCATATTTCAATAATGTTGAAAATATGATAATGAAAAGCAATTTTTCAAAAATATCCCTGCTTTGGTTTGAATTGGGGCAATGTTTGAAATGTTCTATATTTGAGGACGGACTATCAAAAATGACCTTTCACAATACAAAAAAAAACCCTACACAATAACAATTAAATAACAAATGAATCAATATTAGGCATATTTAAATCAGACATAATTTATATTGATGTTTTGATTACATTTAATGAAATTAAAAGGGAATTTTATGCTAATTTCAGATTCATAGTTGTATTCTGTGCCTCTACTGTGACGTGTTAAGATGCTTTAATGTTCAAAAAGCTCTTTATTTTTCTCATACTGCCTGTGCTGCAGCACCTCTTTTCACCCTCTGTCTGAAACCAGGGCCCAGTCTGCTCTGATTGGTTACAGTAGCTGGCCGGCTGGGGATTTTAGCCTTTGCAGACCATTTACATGCACAAAAACGTATATGACACAGTACAGGTAAGGGAAAACCCTAAAAAGCAACTCTTTAAAAAGATCACCTATTATGCAAAATCCACTTTTTCATGTCTTTTATACATAAAAATATGTCCCCTCTGTGAAAGAGATTCTGAATGTTTCAGATTTTGGCCACTTTATGATGTCATAACGATTTATTGGCTTGTCTAACCATTAGCCAATAACCAACCAAGGTAACCCCCGCCCAATTTATCACCTGAATCTCCTCCTCGAGCACCATTGTGTTCTTTTTAACCAAATATCTCTGAGAGGGGCGTGGGGAGTGGCTCCTTATTTTCATCTAAAGTAACAGACAGAGAATCAGCACTTTTGAAACAGGGCTGAAACAGAGGGGATTATGGGATGCTGCTAGGGCTGTGCAATTAATCGTTTTTTTTTTTTAACCTCGATTACGATTTTGGCTTGCAACGATTACGAAAACAATGTAATCGAAATAAAACGATTATTATTTTTATTAAAAAAAAAAAAAAAATTTAATTTTTTTTTTTTTCTGTTGAATTATACTTAAAGTTCAGGGTAATCAACTGTTAAAAACATACTGTTCACTTTTTTTTTTTCAATATATGGATGTTTTCAAAGTAAATGGATAATCGTTTTTAATAATCGTGATATCAATTATTGACCAAAAATAATCGTGATTATGATTTTTGCCATAATCGCACAGCCCTAGATGCTGCAATGATCTGTTTGGTATTTCGAGCCAAACACTTCAGAAACATGTTTTGTATATATCTGAGACCTGTAATATATTGATGAAAAACAGTATAATAGGGGACCTTTAATACCTAAGATTTTAGAATCATGTTGTTGATTACATCCTTTGTTCCAAGATGGCCTAATTGTGCCACTGACAAATATGCTATCGGTATTTAATTTCATATTTTACTTGGAAGTCATCTTCAAAGAGTCCATTTAGAAGACAGATCAAATAGCTCATATACTGTAATAACTTAATTACCTGGATACTTGGAACTGGGTAATAATTAAATAATTTCACATCAAAAGTGGCCTTGTTTAGTGAGAAGTGTTCTACATTTGCTGCTCAGTTAGCGTTAGCTTAGCTGCTGCTCAGTCCTGTACTCGCTATCTTTTGAAATGTTTACACAATACAGAACTGCTTTGACAATCTTTGGCCAAGCGCTCAGAAATTATGATGCACATTTGGCAAAGAACATTTTGGAATTCAAGTGTGACTGAATCACAAAATTAACATCGACTCCAGCAGATAAGATGTAAAAATGAGGAGCATTAATTCTGCCCTTTACCTTAAGGGGACGCATTTAGGTCACAGGTTTTATTTCTATGTTTTTAAGACGGTTATTATGTCACCGTGGCTGTTTCGGGATCAACCCTTGATCCCGAAACAACAGCTTGTTTTGCTGTTGCTACAAACGCATTATCAATTTAACCAAACAAGCTTTAATAATCAATCGATTCTTGTATAAGGCTGTCATACAAAAGCTTTTGCAAATTGGCAATTTTTTCTGATAAGGTCAGAAAATATATTTAAAAAAAGCAATTGTACAGGACTTTCAGAACATAATTGACCATTATTCGTGGTTAAACACAAGCAATACGTGCCTTTTCCATTTTGTTTTACCTTCACACTAACACAGAAACAGGTTACATAAGTGTTGAGAGAAACATTTTCCAATGGTTGTTTCTTGATTTATTTTGCTGTGTAAATAAAAGATACACACCTTGTGTAGACAAAGATAGAAATTGTTACCATCTATTTTCTCAAATCTTCTACGGGATCATATTTTCGATGTATACATTTTAGGACCTCGAGTACTTTGTTTGGTAATCAAAAAGTACAAGTTAATACCCATACCTAAAGGCGACTTCACTTGATCAGCATAAAACGGCTCTGCGCTGCCATTGCCGTGACCCAACACTAATGCCAACCCTTATCGGTACGGCGGGTTTTTTTCCTCACTTTTTTTAAAACTATTTTTCTTTTTGTATTACTTTTAATAAAGCATATTTTAATATTGTTTTAATATTGTCTGCTTATCTGTATTATTGTGTTGCATTGTTGGAGAAGCCTGTGACCTAAGATTTTCAACGACATAATTACTTGTTAGTATGTTAGTTTGACAATAAAGAACCTTGAACCTTATCATTTGAACCTTGACCTCAATGTCCTCTGACCTTTTGACAGATGTTTAAAGCATCACAAACTATGTACGTAACAATAGAAACAAACATTTACCAACTGTTTTCACAACAAGGCTCTGCGCCCAACCTTGCAGTGACAAAAGAACAAGTTGCGTATCATGTGAAAGCCTACATTTGAGCGGAAATTATCCAACATTTCTCCACACAACTGCAGATGTGTTTACCTGGCTCCGGTCTTTGTCCACCTTCTTGAAGCACTTGTTGAGCGACAGATTGTGGCGCACTGAGTTCTTCCAGCCTGTGGGGGCGCTTGCAAAGTAAGGGAAGTGCTCCAGGATCCAGCCGTAGATATCCTTCACCGGCAGCCGCTTGTTTGGCGCGTCCTCGATGGCCATGAAGATCAGGCAGCTGAAGGAGTACGGCGGTTTTCTGTTGGCTCCCGCCGCCAAGTCGTACGCCGAATGTGCGTCGCCGAGCAAAGCGTCTTCCAGGGAAGGAGACGAGGAGGAGGGCGAGCGCGAGTGCTGACCGTCGGGGTCCTGCAGGGGGGAGACGCTACGAAGCCCCGAGTGGCTGAAGCTGTTGAGGAGGTCGGTGCTCTCGTGGAGCCAGGAGAGGCTGGTGAGCTCCTCGTCCTCAGCCTTGGAGAAGGAGGCGGACAGGGACAGCGAGAGGTCGGCTGCCTCGGCCTCGGATGCTGCCGTGGCGGCGTCCCCTTGTCGGTATGGCGGGCTCATACCCTGCGAGGCACTGGCGCCACTACTGGGGCTTTGGGCCTTCTTACTGGGGGGCATGGTGGGTCCCATCCAGCCCAAGGCTCACTCCTGGAGAGAGGAAAAAGGGTAGGACAGAGGGAAAGAGAAAAAGAGGAAAAAAGAAACAAGGTCAGCTTGTGAAATTCATTTAGCTTTCTCACATAAAGACTTTTTCTTAAAGGCCAAATGGTGGAGACACGCAACAAGATTTTGACCACATTCCCAATTAGGCAGATCTGAGGGGAAAACTATACATCATCGTTTTTCTCTGGGGCTCTATACCCAGTTCCGGCTGGAACGGCACATTTAGTGCTTCATTGGTTGAGGAAACCTTGCCTTGTACGACTACCCTCTAATTACAAGCGTACCAGGAACGTATTGACATTACACGAAGGTTGCAGTCATAACATGTGAACCCTGGTAAAGGTCTAATAGCGCTTTGACATCTCTATAACAGGAAAATATCCAAGGTAGGCGTGCTGAATAAACTTTAACCTGTCCATGACCACATCCTCACAATTAAGACATCTGCCAGAAAAAAAGGAAAGAACAACTTTTAAATTCCTAATCATCAATATTCTCCCAAGATAAGAGCAATGGTGTTCTCGTTAGCAGAGGAAGAGCGGTTATTGACGGGGACAGGGTCCGAGTAACACACACCACGCTCAGAAGGCTCACAGCAAGAACTTTGATTGTCCTCTAGCAGCAGGGACAGCTGTGGGAAGAAGGACCCTCGCCCTGTGTGCACACGTTTAAGAATCTGGACACAAATACACACCCTCGATAGGATGTACCACGCCGACACGCAGAAAGAATATCCTAAATTTGCATGCACACAAATTCGGACAAAAAGGTCCTGACAGGGGTACAAAAAGGTTTCAAGTGTAAAAGCATGAAGGAACACACACACACACACACACACACACACACACACACACACACACACACACACACACACACACACACACACACACAACACACACACACACACACACACACACACACACACACACACACACACACACACACACACACACACACACACACACACACACACACACACACACACACACACACACACACACACACACACACACACACACACACACACACACACACACACACACACACACACACACACACACACACACACACACACACACACACACACACACACACACACACACACACACACACACACACACACACACACACACACACACACACACACACACACACACACACACACACACACACACACACTGCCGTGTTGTGCGATCTTCCTCTAATCCAAGGTGATCATCGGCCGATCTGTCCCCTCACTCTACGCGATTGACTGACAGATGTCACCCCTGGCAACCCGCTGTGCCGTGACAACTGTCAGTTCGCAGCATCTCCGCTCGAAGTGTCACCATGGCAACAGAGCAAAACAACTCTGGTTATGTCTCTCTTCTCTGTGTCTACCTATCCTCCCCCGTCTTTTCACTTTTTCCCTACCACAGCCGATAACTCTGCCTAACAGTGCCTGATAGGCTGGAGAAGGACTGGGCTAAATATAGAAATGTGATATATAGCTGCTGTGCTGCTGCTCCATCCGACTCTCTCCGCCGCGATGGGAAACGCTCAGCAGCGTGTCTTTGATCCCCCCCCCCTCCACTTCCTCCCTTTCTACTCCTCACACTTTCTGACAGCAGGCGCGCTCATTCAACAAGCTGTACCTGTCTGAGGTATGCCGTTGTTGCACCAATATTGACATTGAGCGTAATGAATTCAAATTGCCCCGGCGACGATAGCTGAAAATAGTGAGCGCATAATCAAAGGGATGGGCGAGGGTGTTTGACAGGCTTTTCAAGGTGTGTGTGTCTTTGTATGAGCGTATTCATGCGTGTGTTTGACAGGCTTGTCACGCCGTGTGTGTATGTGTGTGTGTTTCTCTCAGGCAGGAAGTAAGGGCATCGCAGTGACATTGTTCCTGGTAGGAGTCCGCTGGAATGCAGAGATGCTCTCTTTCTCTCCATCTCCTCTTCCTCCTCCTTGTTATGTTGCCATAGCGGCAAGGGGGCCATGAAACATTACGGCTGACAGTAAAGTCATCTCATTTTACTGTTGCTATGACAACAAACTCCTCACTGTTGGTTGGGGCCAGCGCGAACTGCCGCCCAAGCCTCGTGCCGGAGTGTGGTGCAAGTAGATTCATGTGTGTATGTGTGTATGTGTGTGTGTGTGTGCCAGCATGTCTCCCATGGGCACTCATAAAGCTTAACACACTTGCTCAGCCCTAAACAAACTTTCATGCAACTTCTACAGCGGCCCCTCAGGGCCAACTGCTAAAGGACAAAGGCAGATATCGCTCAAGTTCAGACTAAATGATGCCTGCTGCGTGTGTGTGCATGTGTTTGAGTGTGTGCGTGTGTGTGTGTATGTGTGCGTATGTGTGCGTATGTGTGCATGTGTGCGTGTGTGCATGTGTGCGTGTGTGTGCGTGTGTGTGTGTGTGTGTGTGTGTGTGTGAGAAGCATACTCACATTTGTTTGACAGATGGGACTGTGCTATTCTCTCTGTCTTCTTCATTCCCTGGATCTCTTTTGTGTTTGCATGCTTTGTTTTGATTTGTTTTCCTCTCTGTTTGGCATGTCCACATTTGGCTAAGTGTATTTTTCCCGGTGTTTCAGTATGTGTTTGCATCGGACTGTAAGTACACTCTCTGTCTATAAGTACATTCTCCCATCGTAGTGCCTGTGCATACCAATGCGATTTAAAGCAGCTGGAATCTGCACGGTGTTGCTCTCGCTCCCTCTGTGACCCGGGCACCATGCCGGCTCTGTTTGCTCTCTGCACCCTGATAACACAGGCATAAAAAGACAACACTCAATTAGAGTAAATTGCTTTCTCGGTTTGAAACGCTATTCTTTAACACGCTGAGATGAGGTCACTAATAGGCGTACTGGGATCTAAGTCCAGACCAGATCTTATCTAGACCCTGACCTATAGCCAACGTTTTTTACTTTCCCAGAGACCAATGGATTCGTAGAAAATCATCTCAGCCAATCAAATCAATGCTTTCGATAAGCAAATCAGGCAAGATACATACAGGAGGGGAGAGATGAGATGAGTGAAATGAAAAAAAACAAAGGATATTTTTTTTCATTTGGCGCTCTAAAATGGGACAAGTAGACAGTGAAAATGGAAATTTAAATTAGGTATGGACAGACTAACTTCATTCAAGTAATAGATTTAAAATCCTCACAGGACAAACTTACTGCTCTCAGTAAATAAGAGAAAGTGGAGGAATGGTATTTATAAAAGTGAAAGAAAAAGAAAAGGAGAAAATCTGTCAAATGTTTACAATGTTTTGAGATTATTTATAAAAAAAAGTTTGAGTATTTAATATTGAAATTCAGTTAACATTTTTAATTAATTAAATTGTTATTATTAATTATGTATTTCATTTTCTTAAACCAAGGATTTTAAAAGCTCCCTGTTATGTATTTCATTTTTAAATGCAGCTGTTATTTTAACTTGAAAGGAGTTATCATTACAGAAGGATAATTATAATCCCATCAGTTCAAATTGAAAACTGACAATGAATATTGCTGACATTTTATTGCATTGTAATTGATTTAATTTAACTGTCAGTTATTGACATAACTCCTGGCTAATACAGTATATACTGAGTCACTGAATCATAAAGCAAGTTATACATTATAACACTCCTGACCTTTACTAGAGAGCAATTTCTCTAACTCGGAAAACCCTGGTGTCGAGGTAGGTGGTACACTAACGTCAGATTGTTTCTGTTATTATGCCTTCCATGAATATAGGTTTCTCTGACAGGTAACAAAGGCTGGAAATTACCGTGGCAACTGTGTTGAACACTTAAACTTCCTCAGACTCCGCAAGTAAAAATATCCTCTACTCAGAGACATTATTATAACTGACAGCGGAAAATGATAACCTACAACAAATATGCTTCAACGTTTCAATTTGCGCTGTTTTATATTGTTGTATTATTATACTGTCAATCAATCAATTTAAGGAAGTATGCTTGGGCTCTGGGAACCTGTGTTAGGCCTTTTTTTTTTATACATTTTGTTTGACTTCCACCAAACAATTCTGACTCAAAAGACTTATTAATTTTTTTCCAGACCTTTCTACCATAATCACATGGTCTTAACCAATTATGATCTATCCATAGCACATAATGTTGGCTTAGATGTTAAAGGACAATTTCAACGTTTTGGGAAATACGGTAGTCGCTTTCTTTCAGAGTAAGATGAGATGATCGATACCACGGTGCACTTCCCTATGCGTTTGTAACTTCTTCTTTTGTGGTACCTACCACCTCATCAGGAATGATGGTGACGGTGACTTTTTTTTCTAACCTTACACTCTGTTGTTTCTCTCTCTCTCTGTGTGTGTGTGTGTGTGTGTGTGTGTGTGTGTGTGTGTGTGTGTGTGTGTGTGTGTGTGTGTGTGTGTGTGTGTGTGTGTGTGTGTGTGTGTGTGTGTGTGTGTGTGTGTGTGTGTGTGTGTGTGTGTGTGTGTGTGTGTGTGTGTGTGTGTGTGTGTGTGTGTGTGTGTGTGTGTGTGTGTGTGTGTGTGTGTGTGTGTGTGTGTGTGTGTGTGTGTGTGTGTGTGTGTGTGTGTGTGTGTGTGTGTGTGTGTGTGTGTGTGTGTGTGTGTGTGTGTGTGTGTGTGTGTGTGTCTCAAGCCACCACAAGCAGCCAGTTGGCTTACTATAGTCTCCACTGGTTGCCTAGCAACCTCACAAGCAGGGAGTGACTGCACCTGTCCAAGAAATAGTCTGCTACAACAACCCTACGAAAGCACAACTTTCCATTTTTTTACCTTTTGTTAAGTACAAGTTAAGTAAACAAAATATAGTATAAATAATGAATGAGCATATTGGTGCTGGGATAAGACAGCAAGGCTGTTTCCCCGTTTCAAGTCTCTATGCTAAGCAGAGCTAACTGTCTACTAGCTTAATCTTTATCGTATAGACATAAGAGTGGTATTAATCTCTTAACAAGGAATTAAATAAATTAGTCTAGAAAATGCTAGAAATGAAC